GAGAGGAGAGGAGAGGAGAGGAGAGGAGAGGAGAGGAGAGGAGAGGTGCTTTTAAACAGTCCTATCAAGAGGAACTGGCCTCACCCACTCCCTATCTCCACGTGCCCTGCAGGGATTAAATTCCATCACCTCTGTCAGATTTTGCATGTTCTTCCCCAGCCTTCCAGCATACCAGAAACTTCAGTTTCGTCTTCCCACGTTTCTTACTTCTCAAGGAAACCCTCAATCCCACAAGACTTTTAGACCATGCCTGGCAGAATTTTGAAGACTTGCTGAAAATTTGAGATAATGAGCAGAAGCGGGAAGAATGAGTGTGGAGATAGAGAGGGGGCCTGGAGGCAAGCTCATTTATGCAAATACATTGCTAAATGTTCTCTCACAGCTGGGCTGAGCTTGCCTGCATAAAATGTCCCAGCCCTAGATAAAAATATATTTATGACCGAGCATCAGAAAATAAAATAATACGTTTTAAAAGGACAATTAGAAAACAATAGTTATTTGAAGTTCATGCTGATGAATTTATCCTTTTCAATTGCTAGTTTGTTTTTCTGAGACCAATGGAAGACTCTTACAATACCAGAAACAGATGATACATGTTTTCAATACATGAAACCTTTATTTCTGAGACACCGTTAAGCCTGACAAGTGTGTTGGGCCCTTGTGTTGTATGTCAAAGCAGCTAGGAGCATCAATAGATGTAAGATGTTCTAATAGAAAACAACAAATATTCCTAATGTGTTTCAAAGTTCTGATAGGTCTGTTTTCCTCAAATTAAAATTTTTGAGATGTTGGCTTGTTTTCTTGTTTGGATTTTTTGGATAAGTGTGCACCTACTTATATTTTTTTTAAATATATATTATTTTCTAGGATTTGTAGAATCCATCAGATAAAATAAAACTAAACCAGCACCACAAAAGACAAGCTGAACCTAAACATCACAGAAGTAAAAAAATCACTAGTTCTAACAACAGATCCAAACCTGCTGTGAAAACATGAGAGAGTCCTGTTATCCTTGCACTGTTAAATGAAAACAAGTATATCATAAAAACAAATATCTAAAGTCCAAAGAAGACATCAACTCTCAAGTGAGTCTGTAGCCATGGTCCTCCTGCTAGAGAAAAATCTTCGGTCATTTCCATTTCCTCAATATTAGAAAATATTCTAGTAAGTAAACCAGGGAAATGTATTCTTAAATGGATGCAGAACTACAGAGAATAGTTGACTCCTGATCAAGCTGGAGAGGATTTTTAAGTGCTATATCCACAGGCATTTGGCTTATCTTCGGTTTTATTCATGATTTTAATTGACCAGAACAAAGTTGTTTTGTTTTCATTTTGGAGGGGTTTTTTTTAAAGTGTAAAAAGCAAGCTGGACAAGATTACAAGCTCTTTGGAAGACAGGATTGAAAATAAAGCATATTGAAAAAGTGGAAAGCCACTCTGGAAACCCATAAGATGAAGTTCAATAGCCCAAAGAAAAAAAAGCCCAAAGAAAATCAAGTGGACAAATGACTGCAAGGAGGAGAACCAGTGAGTACAGCACACCACAAACTGCATGTGCTAAAATTAGGAGGAGGCTGTTGCAGAAAGAGAAGGTGTTGGAAAGACAAAAGGAAACTGCTATTAAAAAAGAAAAGCAACAAGAAAGATAAGAGGATGAGCAGATGTAACCTACAGCGAAAGGGAAGTGTTCAGGCTAAGAAAGGGCTAATGGGAGACAGGGTAACAGCCTTCCACTTCCCAAGTGGAAGTGCTATAAAAAGGCAAATCAATAGCTCTTCTAGAGACAGTAAGGGTGGAAAACAAAAGAGGAATTTTTAGGAGTGTTATTTGGTTTAAAAATTCTGATTCTCCTAGTAAAATATTAAGAAAAATTCCAAACCAGGGAGAGGCATGGGAATAGACTCTGTAGGGATTGCTGCAAGAGATATTTCCCAGGAGCTTTGTAAGAATAGATTGTACAAATATCCAGTAGGTGTGTTCATAGTATATTTACCATGAAATAAAGCAAAAAGGAATTTTGGTCTCTTGAGGTCCTTTCCCATTCTGTGTTTCAATGTTCACATGTATTTTGAAGATGAGTTCTAATGAAAAAATTCAGCTAACAGATTTGTTAAAAATTATACATTTTTTCAAACAGTGTGTATTGGTCATCTCCAGTATTACATAAATAATGTGAAATTTTTTTTTCCCTGATAATTCAGTGTTTTGTGATATTGTACATTAAGCTTCTGCTAGAAATATATCTCTGTTATGTATTTGAAATTATTTTTTTCTGAGAGTTGATCAAAGTGGAGGATATTATTTTATGTTAATATTTCTATTGAGATTTTAAAATCTTAAAAATTATAAGCATTCAAATAAATTATTTGCAAGCTATCATAGATGCTTACCAAATTCTTATGTTTCTCATAAATATCTGATGCATTTTTAATGAAAAAATATCATCAATGCGTTTCTCTTTGGAAATGCAAAGAAATATCAGTTGTACTCCTTAAAGATAAATGTAAATATTATATTTCTCATGCAAAATGCTCAACAAGAGCAGATAAAAATTGCTGTATGGAAATGGAGGCATGGAGGTATGGAAAAAACTGAATGTTGCCTTCCCCAGATGCTTCTAATCCATTTCTCCCCTTATTAATCCAGTTCTCTTCATATCAGAAATAAAAGCCAAAAAGAGTAGAAAGATAAAAAAGCCATAAAAAATATCCCTGTCTGGAGGAATCAAGGTTTCCCTTACTCACAGTTTTGTGATGTCCTTTTAGTGGGCTGTATTGCTATTTCAAAGCCAGCCCCAAGAGAGCATTACTTTTAGCATGAGGAAAAGAGTTCCTGCAAAAGGGCACACACCTCAGTTACAGCATAGCTGCCTGTTGTGCTAGGAGAAAAAACAGGGTTTGCTGAGATAACCAGATCAGCAGTAGGATGAATGCCAGCACAGCTAAATCTGCCTGGGATTTCTCTTCTCTCCAGCCCAGATCTACACAGCTGTGCTGGCACAAGCCTGAGGTGCGGATTTGGATTCAGACGTTGTGCAGTGGGCACCTGACTCACGAGCTGGAAGTGTCCATTTGTCTCAATATCCTCTAAAGGAAGCTGAGTATGACTGGATTGGAGTCACAGAGCAATCTTTTAGATGTACAAATGAAATTGCACTCTCCTCCCCAGTATAAAATGGAACAGAAATTGCTGCCACTTTCTAACATCAAACCTCACAAAATGACTGTAAAATCAGAATAAAGCCTGGAGGACTCTTAGAAATCTTACCAGTGGAGTTGTATTTTTTGGTGAGAACGGCAATCATTTACTTGATATGGTAAGAGTGAAATAAGAACAGACATAGTTCCATAAAGATATCTGAATATTCATTTGCATTCTTATAACTGATCCCCAAAACTCATAATTAAAAATATTGTTTTCAAGAAAAGTCCTGACTTCCTTTCTTAACAAAGAAAAGCAGAAAAAGTCCCAAAGCCAACAAAAATATCTATAACAATATGTCAGATGATGATGAAGTCTGTGCTAATCAGTCCTCTCTAGCAGTGCAAGAGAGGGCAAGGTGATCCCATATAGACTAAGCTCACCAGGGCCTGTCTATAGAGAGACATCTCCCAACCACATACCAAACACAGAATATTGCACTCAGAAACAGCCCATTCCATTCATTTTTCTGAATGATATCTTAATCCAAGCTCAGGTGAAACCACCCTAGAACTCCTCAAGAAACCTACATTTCCTGACGAGTGGCACTGATGTGAGCATTGCACGTGGCAGTAAGGTGCAATGAGTTATTTAACAGAGGACTTACGGGCATGAGAATTGATTTTTTCTAAAAGTAGCACAAAAGAGCAGGTCAAATACTGCCCTGAAGAGCAGGGAAAGCCACCACTCCACACCTTCATTCCTCTGGACTGTAAATGTCTTCTCCATCAAAAGCCTGATCTTGCTGGTGTGCCCGGCAGCTTGTGTGCTTTGAGATCTCTGTCAGAAATGTTTGACCTGGGGATTTAGACCAGAAAGCCTGTCACATTTTGTAGCAGGTGAAACTGACTTATTTTGAAGCCTGGTCAATTTATCAAGTTGTTGTAATGGCAAGATTGTCACTTGCTATTATCGATGACATTCAGTTCAGAGCAAAGCTGGCCATCAAGTTAACTGCAGGCAAATTCACAGGAGCACCAGCTGCAATATAAACAGATCCCACCACCCTACTAATTCAGGTACTGAAACGCAAGTGACTTCTGGATGAAAGATAAAAAATCATTAATTTCAGACAACTGAGCAGGAGAAAGTGAAGGAAATTGCATCCAGCTAGTTTTAAGCAATGTTTACTGTCTCCATTGCATCTTGCTCAGAAAACATGACTTGTGACAGGGGACATCAGGTTGTGCCTTCCCTGTGCCTTACAGCACCTGCTTGTCCCTGCAATGCCACAGATGTCAATGAAGCTACATCAGTGTAAGGCAGTGAGGAATCAGGCAAAGTAATTTCATCCCAGCTTTGCTTTGATGCATTGAAGGCTCACACTTTTGAAGGTTTCCTAATAAAAGTAGCATCATTTTCATCATTTTCTGCACGTACACAATAAATACACTGTACAATTAGTACCTGTGCACAGTTAACAGGCATACATTCATTTTGGAACCTGTTTTATTTGAAGGAGATAGATTGCTGAGAACACTTTATCTGTAAGGGATGCCATTGAATGGAAAATTAGCTCAAAATATCCTTGGTATTTTAAAGTGTAAGTTAACCTGATATTTCAGTTGTCAAAAAACACAGTTGCCCTACTGTTAGCTAATTCCAGTGCTCACCATTAGTGACTTGTTGGAAAGTGTAGGATGCCTATTGCCTCCTGAGAAAGAAAATGGGCTTCC